TTCTTCATTTCCCGCGTAGTCAGAGATCGTTCTTCGTCTTCAGAGTCGGCTTCGATAGCTGCGTGGTGGACCCTCAGAAGTCGCTGGCTTGGGTTGGCGGGCGAGGCAACCCTCGAGTCCTGGTTCAAGTCGGCGGTCATCGAAGAAACATCGCTGGCAAGGAAGAACGACGCAGTGGCCACCACCAAAAACTGAGTGAAACGCATGAGATTCTCTCGTGTAGGTTTGGTTCTTGAGCGTTGGGGAGGAGATTGCAAACTGAGGTCCAAGAAACTGCGCTGCAAAGGCCAATGGTGAATAGCACGCTGTTGTTGTGTCTTCGCTCGCAGTACCTTATGTTCCTAAATACTTATCTTATCTCGAGGCATGGGCTCGGAACAGAAAAAGCCAAAATACCCTTTGAATAAAAAAAAAAAAATGCTCAGTTAAAACCAAGCGAATTTGACCTGTGCTAGACCTCGGACTCGACATCTCGCACATTTTGTCCGTATTCGAGTCGGCTGTAGAAGCGTCCTGCCCATTCGTACTGAAATCCAGCGTGAGCTCGCCAGTACGCGAGTTCGTCGTGAACGTGTCCAACATGTCCGTACTCGAGTTGGCCTTACACGAGTCCAGCTTGTCTGTATTCGAGTTTGCCGTGGATGCGAGTCCCTCCTGCATAACATCGCTCGAATCCGTTGCGCAGTCAGTTTATAAAATGCTGGATTCGAATTCGTGGTGGCTGGTACGCCCGTATTCAAGCTTACACTGATTTTTTTTTTTTTTGGTTCGCGTTGAAAAGCGTCATATATCCGGCCAGCTTGCTAGCGCTTGAATTTGGCTAGTCTTCCTGATAGATAAAGGTTCGTAAAGCTATGCTTTCACACGCATCAATCGCTTTACATTTTACAACTAGGACGCTACCACTTTCTCTCTTATTTTAATATATCTTTTTGACCAAAGCCTTCAGAGTGACGTACTATCTCGAGTGGCGGTCACCTTCTACAGCATATCTGTTCGACGACCTCCATATGTATCCTTCGCTCGCCTCAACGTGCGGAAGTCACCTTCGACAGTGTGGGTACCCAAATGTTGGCGAGACTAGATACCTCATCGAGCTGGAAATCTTCAGTGATGAGCGCAACAGTTGAGAACGGATCTTCTTTATGCTGGCTCTGACTGTTATTATATAGAGGTTCATCGTTGCAGCTCCTAATGTTAGCACAATATAAGCCGCCTTCGCCGGCAGGTTGAGAACCGATGTCCAGGTCGTCGAACTGACGCAAAAGAACACCATATTAGATGACCAGCCACTGTTAAACAACTAACCCTTGTCTGAAAAAAGGCCGGAATCGATTGCGAAAATTGCTTAGAGCTGCATGTACGGATTGATTTTTTTTTCTCTCGACCGGAGCTTGAGCTACTAGACACTTGGTCCACGTTTAGTGGTGGGTGAGCTGATTGCGTAGTATCCATACTAGTGTCACCGACAGGCACGTTTGAGGCTCTAATCGATATTCTCAACGCGGGCAGGCAATCTGAACGCATGTAGAAACTCTAGTCGAGCGCCGGCACCCAGCAGCCCATAGTAATGGCCAACATACATTTTAGTAATCATTTGTAATACACTTTTCTCGATCCTGGAGGGTCTTCATATATTGTTGTATAGAATAGCCGGAAAGACTATCTAAATTACCCATTTTTCATCAAAACGGTACATGCATATATGATTTAAAATGTCCCATTAGCCCAAGCCTGCCTGCTCATCTGTGACTGAAGCACATCGCTATTTGTTGTTAGTACTAAATTACGTCTGGAAGGCATCCAGCGGGCTAGAGCAATCATCGATTTGCAACCTTGTATTACCACGTGGATCGAGCGAAAGAAAACTAAAATACCGAGTCGAGTGTCGGTATTACCGACACTCGTAGGGATTGGTGGGACAGTGTTGAATCGTGTATAATTCTCGTGTCTCATGGTTTACGGCACGTGTATGACCTGCTACGATCGTAAACAGAATATTCGGTTCTTTTT